CGAAAGGATAATCCAAAAATTATTGAAAACAGGTCTGTTAGATTTATGCCACTTGCGGTTCAACATCAGCATCTGCAAACTTCTGTTGCTCCGCCCACTGAGCATGAAGAATTCACTTCATTTTGCCCTACTTCATCAGTTGCTGATGAAGTTTGCAAATTTCCTCATCCGCCGACATCACCAGCGTAACGGCTAGCGGCCGTTGGAGTATTCACACCAATCACACCATCACCTAGAGTGGGAGCACCATCAACTCCTTCCACTCCCTCTGTGAGTCCTCCAGCTAAAGTATCTGCCTCTCATCCGGTTCGTTTTTGCCATACTTATCAGAGGCACACATGGAAACAACGAGAGAATCCTCTCTCTTCTACTCCTCTTGCGTAGTCAGTCTGCAACCTGGAGCACTTGCTGGAAGAACTCCAGCTTCAAGACACTACATTTGAGGCTCCTGCCACAGATATATCTTCCGAAGCAGCTTCTTCCTCTTCCAGCACCATTGCTCCTATCTTACGAAGGGGGGGGGGGGGGGGAGGAGAGTTGAAAACGCGTCAAAAAATTATCACTTCTGGTGGAGAAGAAGAAGAAGCATCAATGTCTTTTTTCATACGAAGAGACTCGTAAAGAGCCGACTTCTTACCAGGAAGCCTTGCAGAATGGTGATTCCACTAAATGGAAGGAAGCGATGGAGGAAAAATTTTCTTTCTTGAAGAAAAATCAAACCTGGACGTTAACCTGAGGGCAAGAACGTTGTTGGCTGCAAATGGATTTACAAACCAAGTACAAGCCGGACGATGCTGTTTGTCGATACAAGGTCAGGTTGGTAGCCAAAGGCTATTCACAGGTTTATGGTGTCGATTTTTCAGAAACGTTTTCTCCTGTGATGAAGATAACATCCATCAGAGTGTTAATGGCTCTAGCAGCTCAACACAATCTAGAGCTGCACCAGATGGACGTGAAAACTGCATTCCTGAACGGGCGGTTGGATGAAGAAGTCTACATGGTCCTTCCTGAAGGTTTGAATATCACTTTTGAGAAAAACATGGTGTGCAGATTGAATAAGTCCATTTATGGATTGAAGCAATCCTCTAGACAGTGGTATCAGAGAATTGACTCGTTCTTACTGCAGATTGCCTTTACCAGAACTAATGCAGATCAGAACGTTTACGATACTTTCAGGATAATACATTTGTGTATTTAGCACTATATGTAGACGATTGTGTATTCGTGAGGGATTCCTTGCGTCTCCTCACAAAGATCAAGGAGAAACTTAAAACGGAGTTCGAGATGATGGACTTAGAAGAGATACATCACTATCTTGGTATGCAAGTTGACAGAAATCGTGAAGAAGGATGGATTCGGATCTCCCAACCACGATATTTGGTTGAAAAGCTTGCGAGGTTCAATATGGCTGACTGTAAGCCTATTGATACACCCATGGAACCCGGTTTGAAGTTAAGTGTGCTTGACTCTCCCAAGTCTCTAACCCCAAACTCTTAAGCCTGTGCTTAAAGAACACTATTCCAAAATCTTCAGGTTGTATCAGGTGAAGTACAAGAATGGTGGGCATGCATGGGTGTGCGCGAAGTGCATGACAAAACATCGTCTTTATATAAGTTAATTTGACATGTTAGGATTCTAAAGATATTAGAATGTCATTATGCAATTGGCATGCATATGTTTAGACTCTCTTGCAATATAAAACTTTGCATAATCTTCCTTATAATTTTCACTGGTCCAGAACTTTTAAAAGTTAGGTAATCATGTCTCTTCTCTTGTCTCGATGCTTTCCATCTTCATCTTCACGTATGAAGGTATTTGAGGAGACTGCTTTGCTGCCCTCCTTGAACCTGGTGAACATGCAAAAAGAATCATCCACATCCTAGCATTTCAGTTCTAGTGAGTTATGTGTGAGGTCAAGGTTGACAAGCTCATTTCTTTGTATACACCTTGATAACATTCGTTGTGATGGCCGTGATTTCAGCATAATGTAAAAGGGCAGCTCGCTCAAACCTGTCACGTGTAGAAATATGCTAGTTTCGTAGCACGAATGCCTTTGCAGTAGGACTGCATGTGGACATTCAGTTACAGAGTCTCTTGCAGCATTTTGAGAGGATGCAGGACCTAGATTGATTTATATAATGAGGAACGCAATTCTTGTACAAACTTCAAACGATACAACCAACAAGATATAATATGGGAAAAAGTGAGAAAGATGGTCAGGATTGGTTTGCAAATTGTGTTGTGTGTGAATTGGTGAAGCCGTGGATAGAAGGAGTGCTTCCATGTGCGTTAGCCATCAAGGGCACTCCCCACACAGCACCACCATGTTGCGTGGGGAGTGGCCTTGATCTCCGTCCGGAGCAAGATACAGGTGCTGGTTTGGCAAAGAAGTGAATCGCTGTACAGTAAACATTCGCTTAAGTCCGCAACTTGATCCGGGAGGTCCGGTGCGGACTTATCTGAGATGCGGACTTAACTCCTCTCAACCTCCGTAGGTCAGTTCGTTTCTCTCATCCTCCCATCCTGCCTTCGGTTTCCATCTCCCACGCAGGAAGCTCAAGCCGAAGTTGAAGAAGCTTAATCAACCCCGCTTGTTCAGGATTCGCGTCTGCTCGTTTATCCTCCCTTTCTCCCTTCTCCCTGCCTCCCTCTTCCTCCTTCTGGCGTGGCCTCCGCTCTACTGCGAACAGGGTTTGAGATCGTCTCCCGGTGAGGAGGTAAAGGGGCGCCAACGCCTTTAGGCACTTGCTTCGGCGATAGGCAGCTGGTTTTCTGGGTGACAACCGTCGACAGCAGCTTCTATTTTGCTCAAGGAGTTTTTTGTAAAATACACTTTTGAGAATTGATCCAAGAATTTTGCGTTGTGAAGTGCGGACTTAATTGGGATGCGGACTTAAGCGAATGTCTACTGTATAGAGTCTCCAACCTCGTGTCTGTGGTGCTTATTGTCTCCTAAGTACAGGGCAGCTAGTTGACAAAGAAGTGGATTCTTGCGTAGAATCTCCACCTCGTGTTTCCGATGTTTGTTGTCCTGAAGGACACGAGTGTTGGTTCGGCAGTGGAGTGAATCGCTGCATAGAGTCTCCAGCCTGGTTTCGAAGATATTTGTTGTCGCCCCCAATGCCTGCTACCGAGATTCCACTACATGGAGATGTTGGAGGGGTGAGACGACAGTTTGAATGTTTGATAGGTCGGTCAGATATGTCTGGATATAATGTTTGCGTTCCGTGTGCATTGAACTTATTCTTACTGTGATAGAATTATGCAAAACTGGCGGTGCTTAACATGTTCTTATTGCGCAGAAAAGTAGCTAGTGGCGAGGAGATACTGGAATTGCTGAGACTGGTTAGACCCTAAAATGTCGAGTTTTGAGGAGAGAGGCTGAAGAAGTTTGGCAAAAATTTGAGGATCTATATGCTGTAATGTTGTCTCTATAAGATTTTCCTAAATAGATAAGTTCGAAAATTAGATCAAATTTTAAAAGTAATTATCACCTACAAATGACTAAACTAAGTAAAGATGCTTTAAATATATTCATGAAACATATAGACATGAATGTTTCAGACTTCGTAAATGTAATCTAGACATGCATGTCAAGTCATCATATATATATATATATATATATTAATCATTGGATTGGCATTAGCCAATTTTAAACTTTACATCATCATCATTTGTTCATCTAGCGATCTCTATCAACTTGTTTTCAAGACATTTTAACCTTTAATTATAATCTGTATTTTTCTTCTGCATTTAAATATCTGTCAATAAGAACAAACTTTATTCTACTTCTATCCCACATGACAGTCACATCTATTTCTTATGTAGCTATCTATACTGGGGCCTAGCCTAGCCCCATGTAGTTCATCAATACTTCAAAAAACAATTTCTTGTTCGCCTTGCAGTAACTCTTATCATTGATAGAGAAGAGTTAACTTTGATTATATACTTCGGATTGCAGTATTTGAAAAATTCGATTTATCAAGGATTGCTCATGACGTGTAAATAAAGATAATGGAAATTGTATACATCCATATCGATCTGCCTACAAATCACACATAAATTTTGCAGTATGATTGAAATGAAAGTTTGATGGGTAATGATTTACAGATGAATGTTGATCATGCGACTTGACCGTAAAATATTCGGTCCGACCAAGTCAATAGACGAGGAAAGGAGATGGGCATCCACGAGAGAGTCATGGCTGGTCTAGAAGAACAAACAAAATTCATAGAACTGATGTTTACTTGCGTAAAACAAACAAACAATCATTCCCTCCTGCTTACCAATGCAAGAATGAAGAAAATTGTCCCCTCTCAACTTATGAGAATTGTACAGTTCATATTTGTAAAATAACGTGATAATCGTAAATACTCGCATCAGTATAAAGTAAATTTGATTAACTTCAAACCATACCATATATATTCTTCTTTACTTCGGAAATACTTTAAAGAACAGATTATTAATCCAAATAAAAAACACTTCGAATGCATGTGTCACTCAAGCTGTTGGATTTCAATTTGACATGAACATTCTTTACATTACAATATCCTCACTACAGCATGAATAATGTCAGAATTTTTGTGGATTTCGTTGGACACATGTGTGAGATGTTGGGATTTGAAATGTGTTGACAATGAGAATAACGGAAGTGATAAAAATATAAGTCGATCCCAGTATGGATTTTCCAGAGTGGATATTCGTACATTAACAATTGTCACCTCGAGAGTATTGCTCAATTTATATGTCCGAGTTTTATGTACCGAAGCTAGTTTAAGTGCAAGGAAGTAAACATGAGCTATTGTGATAAGAGAGTCACTATGGAAATTTTCAAATCAAACTGTAAATTTCTACAGGATATATACAATGAAGTGTATTGACTACTCCAGTCTAATCTGATAGATTGCACGCTGCGAACAGAAAAATTACTACAACCGAAGTGAAGGCACGCAACCAGCGGAATAACACGACAAAAGCAAATCCGTCAATAGGTGATCAAACCAGTCAAAAAAGCGATGAGATTTGCAACTTCCTGCGGTAGATCAAAATTTGGGTTCAGGACTGAGATCCCACATTTAAGAGAATACGGGTCCCGTGTGGAAGGTGAATGTGAGTTTGTGGACACAGAAAGTTCATTTCTATAATGCACGAATCACCATGCATGTGAATGAGGTGCATTAACGTATTTTGAATTTTCTGGCGGTTAGAGATCGTCACAAGTTGATGGTACTGCTGTTGTAACTTTGTTACAAATTACCACAAACAATGATTCATGATCTGAACACAAACTCTAGGTCGTGCTACTGAAGTCTACGCTCGGAGGGCATGTGAGATTTAGCAGGCAGCTTCAATAGAATTGGAAGATATGTTTTTTGAAGACTCCACCAAGTTCTAGATCAAGCGTAGGCACGTCTTGCGTTGTCAAGTTCACCCTCACGAAGAGCTCAGTTCGTTATGAGCTGCTTCGAATACAGCCTCAAAGTCCCCTCCCTCTAAATCTGGAAAACAGCAGGACATGAAAACCAAGATAATATGATTTCCAAATTTGCAAACAATGAAAATTATTCGTCCCCGATGCCAACTCTGTCAGTGAGACCAGGGAATCTGCATTAGTCAATTACTACTCATGACATGACAAGCTTACCTCTCCATATGTGATCAAAGTGCTTGGTTAGAGACAAGCGATGGGCAACCTACCAAAAAATGGACGAGCAATGCTTTTGCTTCTAAAGACCTCTTTAGAGGGCGACGTATGTCAGGCTTTCGAGACCACCGGAGTTGAAACTATAAGAGCCTTGAGCTGAGGCATCCGCTCAATCAAAGCCTCTCTCTTCGTTCGCATCCGATCATTAGTACAATCGTTTTCCTGTACAGATGTGTCACAGCAATCAGGTCTCATTGTAAAGAAAACGATTAATTAACATGGTAAGGTAACTACAAGAAAAAGCTTTGCAACACTAGAAAACCGACTAATCTGAGTCACAATAGTAGGGAAAGGGTGATGGCACATACACCAGAAGGTGCTGTGGCTTGCATAGATAAAAGTTGTACGGTGGTTGTGTGATACGCCATCAACGAACCGAAGGAATCCTCAGATAGTCCGCTCTGTAAAACGTAGCAAGAGCTGACAAGTTCACATTCCATTACCTTTGAGAACTATGGTTTTAATGTTGAACTTGAACCTGCCCATTAGCGTTTGATATTCTAGGTAACAAACTGACATGTATCACGGTGTTCAATATCTACACACAATGCCTTCATCAAACTTGTCCATTGTACGTATGCTAGAGCTTTAGGTCAAAAGTACAAACCTTCAGACGGTTTACAGCTGCCAACATTGCTCTTCCAGGTGCTTGAAGAGCTCGATTATGAACCTGAATACAATCAGAAGCATTGCCCATTCAACTTTACAACAACCCTCACGTATTGTATTTCATATAAAACAGACTCATACAGCCGACCAACTTAAGTAGCACAACATAATTATAAAACGGCTCATAACTTACCTGGATAAAGAGGAGCGCAACAACTCTAGGCAGCAGTGCAACTGGATCGTTCTCCTCCTCCACTTGCGACATCAAGACCTGAGACATAGTATTGTACAGATCAGCTCTAAAGACTTGAAGGAGAATTTTTTGCACTAAACTAGAAAAGAAATATACGACACGACATTCAAGTTTCCGATTTATACATTAAATTTTTGCCTTTGCAAGAGGAACTTCGACGTGCCATGAAAGGGTCTTCATGAGAAGAGCTAGATCCGCCTATCTAACATATTACTAAACGTAACTCTCAGATGACAACATGTTGCCGGTTTCGAAATCGATGGCTTTGTGACTAAACACCTACATGCAAAGCTTCAAGTGATGCCCACATTCCTAGGTTTTCAGATGTTCCTCTGCGACGATGAATAGGCTTCATAACATTCCTCTAGGATGTCACTGCAACTCTTAGAGAACTGGCAGAAGCGGTGACCTTTTTATGCGAATGGAGGAGCGACCTTTCCGATTTCTTGTCCAGTTTCTTCAGTCGTAGACCACTGCAAAACAATTTCAAAATACTTTATCACACCCACTATTTTATTGAATAACCTTATATCAGTTAGCAAGGTGCCTAAGGTATCTTGAGGCAACGGGTTATAAATCTCATAGTTTCTCTTACCTTTCTTTCACGGCAGCTTCCAGAGCAGTCTCAAAAGCGTCAACTGTCTGTTCACAAGTGCAACCTTGCATAAAGATAAGGAGGAGATCGAATAGATATGATGACAGATAATACATGAAATCAAAGAGAACAGTATACCTGACTGGATGATTTAGTCTATAAACAATAAGATCCTCTGCTTACCAAACATACCTTGCCCTCAAGCGACTCCACCAATTCTACCGAACGTTTAGCTAGACCGGCACCTGCCATACGTTTTGCCTGCAAGTTCACAAGGCAGTTAAGATGAAGATGAATGTATACAAATCGGAAATAATCCAAACGCATTTGCTTTCACACGTTCATATGAACTGAACATCGAACTGACCGTTAGTCGCTGAATGGAGAATATCTCGTGATAAGTGGTCAGAGAGCATCTTGATCCTGAAAACGAACTCATACACATGAGCACTGACTTACCAAAACCATCCGTTCAGCTGTACTTAATTGGTGCGAGCCAGCCGACGAACTCTCACGAGAATCACTGCCATCTCCCTCCTCGAGTTGCCTCTCGAGGTTCTGCAATTCAATTTGGGTTAGAGAAGAGGTATTGATTAAAGATGGAATTAATGATAAATCGCACTGGATGCCAATACATTTGTCTGCGGATGGATGGTGACGATACGTCTAGATTTCAGACAATTTCTGTTCTACATGGTGACTTTTACGCAACTCTGTGCTCCTATGATATTTACCAGGACATGGTACTAAGTGAGGGAAAGATGGACCCAAGATTGCTGTTACTTGCAGATGATACTCAGCGTATATGGAACATCTGGTAGCTATTTGCAGTAAGACTTACTTCAGAAACCAAAAATATCTCTGCATCAACCGAGAAACTATTGAGACACAAAAAAATATACTTAGAGAACCCACCTGGGCTGTCAGAAACATATCGGTAATTTCTGCAGCTGTGGTACGCAAAAGATGCCTTTGTAAAATCAACTGCGCACGGATAAATATTAATCAGGAAAATCCAAGCACTCATCACATCTCAAAGAAACAATGGCAACTTCATTCAAGCCTCGGACACGTACGTTAAGGAGCAGGACGTTGTGACTTCAAGTAGTGGAATGCTTGAGAAATAAGTATCCTTCTCTGAAACACTCACTCTTGGTACTTACCGCCGTATTATTATCCTCCTCGAACAAATCGAGAGCTTTCTCAAAAAGCTGCAGATCTGCGTAGGCCTGAAAGCCAAACCTCATCAAGTTGAAGGAAGTTATTCGAAAAGCTGAATTTCAAACTATTGCTGAAGGTACATGCAAATATGTTCATCACGTAAAAGAGACATCACATGTTATACCTCATCGAGCTTTTGTTGCAAAGAATCCACCCTGCGTCGTCTGTCTTCAGAGCTTGCATTAAAACTTGCACGTTTTACAGCCGCCCAGGTGGATATTACAGATGGCCTCACCCACTCAGCCAGTGACTTGGGTAGAGAACCACCCTCTCCATAATCATCGCCTTCTACAGAATTACATGCAAGTCATTCAGCTATAAGTTGATGTTCCTCAAACAAATTGATCAAGTTATGCATTATCACCAATAAACAGCACTATTTGAGCAACCCATTCAAGCAGTGTTCATCGTAAAGGTACAGATGGTTGTCTTAATAAAAAGTCGAATACCTCTGATCGCCGTATTTCAGATGTGCTTATCAACTCTATCATAGACATAGTCAACTTTTGACATTATGACAACTAGATGGCACGCTAGACAACTGTGTCGGCACAACTCTTCGTGAACAACGTGCAGATTAATCTTGAACTTGAAGAAAGCACTGACGTGAACAAATAAATTCTCCGGTTTACTTTATCAGATCAAATACGTTTTCTTGATATCAAAGGCTCCTACCGAGCGCTGTCCCAGTGAATCAATTACTCTCTCATAAGTCAATCCGGAGAATGCTTGCAGTTTTTTGTTAGAGCTTCTGCCACATGAACTCTGAAGCTGATTCGGCAGAAATATGATATGCTTACCAAACCCGGCGGATTCCATGTCAGGATACCATTCAAGCATCTTCTCAACAAGGTGCTCTTGAGTTGGCATATCTGCGTCCTCTTTTATTACGGATCCTTTGCCTGTCTTGGTGGAACTATTCCCTGCCTCTCCAATCAGCGAACTTATGCCTCCTTTTGTCCTGCCACCCTTTCTTTTGCCCTTTGCTCCCTTTCCTCCAGCCTCTTCCTCAATTTCGTCTTTAATTCTTTCCTTCGTTGAACCAGTGGTACTCTTCTTCTTCCTTCCACCCTTCGTTTGATTGGTGTCATCTTCCCCATCAAAGTTCTTATCTGCGATCCCAGAGCTCTTGCTGCTTGAGGCACCTTTTTCAGAGCTACTTCCATCGACAACACTCTTTTTTGCTATCGAAAGTTGAGCCTCCACAGCTTTCTCAGCTAAGCTTCGAACTTCGAGTTCGACCTTCTCAGATAAGATCTGTAATTGAGAGGTGTATACATACGAAGGAACTAGATGAGCAACAATTCTCCATGCTGGAAGATTTAGGTGTAGAATATATTTCTGAGTTAATACACAGTCAGCAGAGATCTCAGTCAGTTGATCAGTAACAGTTCATTATTAACACAGGGTGGCTTCATTCAAATTTAATTCAATATTCAGCCATCAGTAACCATGATCTAGAGTTTCCTGTTAGCTAGATGGGTAAAACGTCCGCACTATAGATGTCCCTATGTCAGCCACTGGCATAAGGACATTTTGTCAGGCCAGTACACTTTGCCACAGATCATTATCTGAGGTTCTGACCATGCCTGTGAGTGTGGATTGCGAAAAAAAAAGTGGTGGTTTCAACGTGTGCTTGAAAGGCAAGCGTGGAATGTGGTGTACGGACAGATCTGACCTCTGTGTTGTTCCTAAAGAGCCTAGCTAAGGGTGAATGCAAGCGAGAGCTTTGGCTAATGATAAGGGAGTCTACAGAACCATCACATCACTAAGAAAGGGAACGATCTAGTTCTATCATGCAAGAATCTGACAACCAAAACACTAGAACTTTAGAGACTAAAAGAGGCTATTAAATCAAAGGCACAATGATCCCAACGACTACTCATTTAGAATCTAGGTTTGTAACACAAACGAAATGTCAATCCCAAATTCGTAAATTTCAATATGTACTTTAAATCATGATCCACACTCATTCATGACAGTTGAAGACGCATGCATTTTAGCGCATGGACGCACAAAGAAATCAAGTAGTCCACAGCCTAGAAGGAGACACTAAACTTTGGAGACACATTAGTTTGATCGACATTTCATACCTATTTCTTATGGAACTAGCTTCACTTTTCACTCGTCCTTCCTCTTACGCTTCCCTAATCATGACATCTTACTTCTCCTTCCAAGTTTGTTAGTTTTGGCACCTCTCCGTCATAGCACGGTGTCTACACTCTTCACGATTTGACAGACGAATGCTAAAGAGTACAGTCTTACTGCACTGCAAAACAAATTTTGGACGGCGTTTGTTGTTTGGTCATAACAGTTTAGACAAACTGCAGAAGGTTGAGTAGGACATATCTTGAAGATCTTCTGATCATTTTGAGAGGGCAGGCAATGCTATAGTCTCACCCTCTTTGTTGATCGATGTCTTTTTCGTGAGAGAATTCAAAACAAAGAAACATCATTGACAGCAGTGGATCGGAATAACTTGGTGGTGAGTTCGCCTCACCTTGATAAACTCAAGGCTGACCACACAGGTCTCCGCCAGAATAAAAGCGGTTCCTTCCTGCAAAAAAACAAGGCCCTATTATTCACCTGGTGCAACATAATACCCCTTACTGGATGGCTCCTCTTTTGTACCAGCGAATGCCACAAGTCCTGCGCCGTGATTGCAACTGAGCGTCACATCGATGTAAAAGAAAATGTGGTACAAAGCTCTGGATATCGTTAGGCGCAACCTTTTTAGCCTTGATGACGGATGGGCACAGATTCAGCAACAGTGCAGCATCCGCATTGCTGAAGGATGTCGGAACAAGCGGTAGCGCATCAAACCTGAAGGGAGATACACATGGGTCGATTTACCATCAAGTTTGAAAACGAATATTAGTGTCTTCTTGGATACTCCTTAAATTAAACATTAGCCTCTTTTCTTCCGCTGATGATACATACATATCGCTGACAGGAAACGGACCTGAGAGCAATTTAATTACGGTCTAAATGATACAGATATCACCCAAGCTGCAACCGACTGAGTCAAGAGAGCCTGACTTCCATGAAGCAGAGAAACTGTACCATCCACCGCCGATAATTGCCTCCTCAGATGCCGCGTCTAGCACACTGGTTATCGACGGGTGAATAAAAACCGTTTCCAGGGCAATCCCTTCAGGATATTTGTCCTGCATCATCAAGAAACGGTGTGTATAACCAAGTGAGAGTTGTGTATAATCAATAAAAATAAATCCACGCAATTATTCCAGGGCTTGCAAACAACTTAAGGATAACAGGGACTTTTTTTTAAAACAAGAAAGTGAGGCTACTATAGGCACGGAGGTAAGACGCCAGACCTGCAAGTAAGTCTTCGGCTGTGATATTACAAGCTTCCGTAGAACGTCGTAGCTTATGTATCCGTTCTAAACAATACAATGAAAAATGAGGGTTATGGTGAATACAAAATTCATAAACTAAAATACAGATAACACATAGACGTAAATATACAGAAGGACGCCGCTATGGTTCATTCTCCAACGTAGAGAATGACGCGTAGCAGAGTTAACGCATGTCGGAGAAGCTTAAGTCGAGCTAATGATGTGAAATCCAAAAGTTCTATGAAGATCCAAAAGTCTACAATTAAGAAACATTCAATATATACCTGTGAGAAAAAGGCTTCCACGCTTTCGCGTTGAGACTGAGCAAATACCTGCATCAAGTGAGTTGAAATATACTTAGACTTTCACTTATCATAAAATATTCCTATTCAAGAAATGTTGTAACCATAAACACTCAAGTATGTTTACGACCTGCGACCCACCCCAAGCTGCCGGATGCCATGTCCAGACCATAGACTCGTAACTAGTAATTCAGATGAGACCTATTAAAGAGGAGTTAATGTGATCACGACTTCAAATAGCGGTGGCAAAACTTGCAAGGGTGTAACAGCCCATCCCTGCCCCTTACCGCAGGTGTCCAAATCGCCCCACCCCCTCGAAGAAACCCTTTGACATCCCCATCCGCAATGAGCCCAGTTAATTCTGACTGGAAGAGGAGGCCTTCTCCAGAAACTCCTCCACCTGATCCATCTTCTCCTTCCCGAAGTTGTTTTTGTAAGCAAGACCACACTTCTGAAAGAGGTGTGGGGACTGTAAGTGCTCTCACTGCACCCCGAACTATAGCCCTTACTCTTGAGACATGTGCTGGTGTATAAAGCTGCCCCGATTCTAGCTTTCCTTGTATCTGCAAGCAATGTCAGAGGCGTGTCAAAAGAAAACCCTGGGGTAGGATGCGCAGCGACAGGTTTGGTGTAAGCTCAAATTGCAAGCCTCTCTTTTTTTCAGCTGGCAGAGGTCTACCATTCAACACCTGATGCGAGACCCTTAACACAGTAAGATGAATCAATACATCCACAAAACTGTCCGACACCGTGAGTCAAAGCGTGTGGGCGATATGGTGACATTTTATCCAAGAGTGAGGGATTTACTGATTTTCCTATCCGAGATTCCAGGACTCTTGTCAACTGCTCGGATCCCACATTGAAGCGTTTGGCAAGCTCTCCAACTGCAACTTGTCCAGACTCTTGAAGAGCTTCATTGATTTCCTCTGCAACTGTATCCCAGTATGAATCTGCTACAATTTCTCCTTGTATAAATGACAAGTCTGGGTTGCTAGCAACAATCTGCTCTGCTACTCTTTCACAATGCACAAGTTCAACTCCCACAGAGGCTGCTAAATCAACAAGCGATGCTCGTCCAAGTCTCTTGATTTCAGCCTCCACCTCGGCTTTCAATCGATCCTGCATTATGAGGAAAGCATTCAAAATGTTATGCAGCTATGATATAATATATCGACATCCTAAAAATAAAAAAATAAAAAGTAGCTTTCTCTTCGTATCGATCTGCGGAGAAAAACAATGTACATTTGGTAACAACAAATATATTCGAGTGTATACATCCATTGACAGGAGATGATAGCTTCGACAAGGTGAAGGACAGAAATACAGAGCATAGAAAGTAGACATGAAAGTACCACCTACATCACTAATTGACAGAATAATACGCCAAATGACTGCTGACAGATGGGATGTTGTTTGCTCTAGGTTTAAACACTAAAGCAAGCGAAGTGATTAGCTGGAACTGCAGAATCAGAATTGAATAGAAAGCTCATTTTTTAAATTTCAGTTTTTAAAAAGAAAAGAGAATATGACGATCTAAGTCGAATCTGAGAAAGCACAATGGAATCGAATTCATGTTACATTAAACCACCAATTTTCAGAATTACAATGTGGTACATTTGGGCATGTTGCGATTCAGGCGCGGGCAGGACAAATCAATAGACCAAATTTCTAGAGCAAAATTTCATCCCCTGACATAAATCAAGGACCCAGTCTCACGGGCATCAAAATTCGTACGGTGCAAAATCATCAAACAGACCGTGGAAATAATCTGTGCGCTTCAATTTCCTGAGCAGAATCACATAGTTACGGAGAAAATGACGGCAATGGAATCAAGAACCTTGGTAATAAACTCCTTGCCGGTGATAGTGTGGAGCAAATCAGAATCCAAAAGTTGCAGTTCTTTCAATTTGGTCACAAGTTCCACAACATTGCGCTCGGAGAGTCGCACGGTAGCCTTGGCTTCTTGGGTAGCCTGGAACAGCTTCTGCAACTCTAGCAGCTCTGCGTCCATTTTGCCCCTTTATTGAAGCGATCAGAGGGACAGTGACACACCCATCCGTCGACAAATTTCAAGCACTCGCAGCAGCCCTTTTGACTTTCTGGGCCTATCGACGCCTTCCGAAAACCCTGCAGGCTTTTAATTATTCAGGAAAATAAACGCATGCAAGCTAAGCGGCAGGGCGTATGGGATCCAGCGACTGAAGTCCGCTCCGATCTTGATGGACTTCTGACGCGTGCTCGCAGCGATCGAGCGAGAGAGAGAGAGAGAAGAGAGAGAGAGCATCCGGCGGATGCACAACGTCGTGCTTCATTCTCTCCCGCACCACATCGCTCGCTCGCTCTCTCTCCCGGAGCGTCAGCTCGTCGCCTCCAATTCTCGCCGTCCGCTAATCCGTTTTACTCCAGCTCTAATCCAGTCACGTGATTGCGCTTCTCCGGCACTAATTTAGCAAGCGAGGCCCTCCGCCACTTTGGCACAGCTCGGACATCCGGCCGTCGGCGAACGAAATCGTCTCGGGACTGGGGCGGAGGAGAAAGGCGTGGAGGAAGAAGGCCGGCCGGATTAGCAGACATTCAACCTGCTTTTACTCCCGCGACGGCGGGCGGGTCTCCATCGAATGATGGCAATATTTGTCGATCAATATTTGAGTGAGACTCTATCCAAAAACAGAAAGGTTGAAAGGACCTGAGGCTAAGCCGTCCAAGCAGAAACCAAAGCCAAGAAAGTCAGAAAATTCAGAGCGAGAAGGTTCTACTCTCATAAATCCCTATGCCTCCCTTGGTTCCTCTTTTGCAAGCTAATTGTAAGATCCAGGAAAGACCAGGGTCTCTACAATCGGAAATATTTCTAGTTGTAGTTGTGGTTTATGCAAGCTGAAGAGCCATATTTATGCCCTGTCTTAAACCTGAAACTTTTATTTATTTATTTCTGAAAAATTGATAAAAAGTGACTCGTGTCGCCTTTCTTGGTAAAGTCGGTCTGAGAAAAACTGCGCCTGGTCTCTATCCAAAGTAGCCCATGGATCTCCAGCGCAAGGGATTGAAGACCTGTCCCGGCCCTAAAATTTCGCACCGACTGAAACTCCTCTACGCAAAAAATAATTCATCATTGCTGCATTATTGACGCATTGTTGGTATACACCCTCCTGCCTAACAGAGGAGCTCAGGTTGTACATAACTGGGTGATATATTCGATAAGGCGTAATTACACCCTATCGAAGCTCCAAACTGCGTATGAGTCATCCTCGATTAAACACAGCAAAGTAAGCCCTTCAATGAGTCCTCGATGGGCATGCGTCAACGAAATTAGTATTTTTTGTCCTTCTGAATTCGTTTTACTAGGAAACAGATACATGCGTAAATATTAATGAATGTGGGGAGCTTGAAATGTTGGTCTTCGTCGCGGCCCCGCGAGTTCATGTGGAAACCTACGTCCACACCTGAGGACTCCTAATTTGTCGGAACCCGGAAATATTTGCTTCCGGCTACTATAAATATCGATAAATTAAATAATTACAATGGCTATGGGCGAAGGTCGGACGAGGAGAAAAGAAAGCCAGAGGAACGGAGGTCTCCGCCCAGTTGCAGAGACGCGCCATGGAAAGCGCCACGCGTCGGGCCCTGAAGCATTGACGGAAAGATGGAGGCCGACGGCGCCGAACTCCATCCGAGTCGTGGCTCGTCTGCGTCATCGTCCGTCGCTGGCATCGCACGCTCGCCTCTACGAGTTTAAAATGCAGCAGAAAAGCGTTGGGAGGATGGCAGAGCAGGCGCCAGGGGAGCGGACGAGAGGAGCGTCTGGTCGATGAGATTTCTAACTGCTGGCTCGGCCCAAGGGAGGCAATAGAGCACGAGCACGAGGAGGAGGAGCAGCAGCAGCAGGAGGAGGCTGTCGGCGCAGGCAGGCGCAATGTTTCTGCGGCTTTAATCGGGGGCCCGAGATCCGAATTTTGCCTGAGCTCATTCGGGCGTGCGATCTGGGCCCGTCTGGAAAGTTTGGCGGTACGCGGAAAACCTCGAAAATGCTCGCGGTTGGATCGGAAGTGCTCCTCGATGAGCATTTCGCTTCGGAGGAAGTAGGTGCAGGTTCTGGTGCTGGTGCCGGAGGTTTGTGAGAAGAACGAGAGCGTCGCCGGTGGAGACAGAGGTTCGATGACACGTCCACGAGAGTAGAGGTTTAGAATTAGCTCGCGGAGGTTTTGAGAACCGGGAAAGTTCAGATCGGCGATTGCTGGTGTATGCTGTGCGCTCCCGGTGGATTTGAATTTCTCTGGAAGCTGATGGAGATTAAGTTTCTGATGGTTGGAGGGCCCAGATGTTTGGATTAAGGTGTTGGAGCTGGGTTGAGGTGCGCGTTGGATTGGACCTGTGGGAGTTTTTGGCGAATGTTTGAAGCGGGACCATGAGCTGTATTTTGTAGGAAAAGCTTTTTTTTTCCATTCGTCCGTAGAAGTAGTTTCGGCTCATCTCAGTGGGTGTAGCGTGGTGTTGGTTCGACGAAGACGAGGGGAAGTCCATAATGAAGAGGTGGGAGATTGCGTAGGTTGGGACGTGTCACAGGTGGAGAGCTTCTTTTGCAGCGATCGAATTGATATAATGTTTGGAAAGGAAGATCGGTAAGCAGGACAGCGAACGTACTCGGCTTAGAGATGAGAATTTATTTTGCTACTTAATGGCACTCCACAGAGTCCACAAGGTGATCGCAGCTGTGGGCTTAGTTATTACGCCTCGGAAAGATGTCGGACGAGACATACGTAATTACCTGTTGACAATTAACGTTGTAGGGGTCGGTTCAAGCTTCTCTCCCGAACAAATGTCCCATGAAAAGTCATTGCAGATAATCCTTTCTAAATGATTGACTCTTGGATTTTGAGAACTAAACACGAACTTGCCAGTACTTGACCTTCTCCCTGAATAAGTCTTGGGCAACTATAATTCTCTGGTTATTCTATCAAGGCAGATTCCTTATTCTGCAGCTCCACCGTATTCGCTGAATATGAAGAAGCTATACCAGCATAAGGACGGAATTGCTTGAGGAATAAGAGAGCATAGGAATAGTGGTCAGTTTATGAGAAACTTTAGTTTTTATGTGACTGTTTTACTCCCATTTTTTATGTGGAGTGATTCCTGTACTTCAAAAAAGCTCAGTTTTATCTCATTATGTTGTCCTTTGTTGACATGTCAGGACTTCTCCGTCCTCTCGTTTGGAAACCGCCACAGATAACCAGGAGACTTGAGCATATAGCAGTTCCTACCGACCCCAACTTATTAGGCCTTATATGGGAGATTGAGGCTACACAGATTTATACTTTTGTTGCTGGGGCTTTTTGATATGTTCCGGTCATCCGGAATGAGGAACAGAGTGCCGTCATCGAACTCCACAGGAAGCATGACATCTCTAATAATGCTGATGCTTTCATTCTTGGCTTGCTTTTACACTGCTGGCCGGTAAATTTCATTCCTGACCTATCTTTAATTGCGTGAAGATCTTGCTGTATAGTGTTGATTTGTCCAGATTTCGTAGATAATCTTCGCGCTCATTGAGAAATCCATTGAGTGTCTTAAACTGCTTGTCTTTTCTTATTCAGGTTATGGGAGGACGCAGAAGTAAGATCACTTCTTGTCGGACGTTTGGAGACGAGGACATTGCAGGTACACCTCGTCTTTAAATGGTTACGCTTGTATACTTGTGTTCTCCTTGCCCTATGTTTGGCTTGTTCATCTCATCAACACCGTCAAACTTCATCGATCATAGTATGATCAATGAAATTTGTACAAGGTTTGTATCAAGATATTGATACTTTACAGTCATACCTCACGTAGAGGCCGCTGGAAGGGTTTTACTTTTCAAAGTTTAAGTCAAGTTCAATGTTTCACTTTTAACTTGACTAACGACTCACCACCTACTGAACGAAACTCGGTCTTTTGTGATCGGCTATGATTGTATTGAACTTTTGGAGACTTGCTCTTGTCAGCATCATGTGTTGGTTCTTATTAACCTATAATGTCTTTGTTACATCGTCCAACTGGATCAGACGCTTTCACGCTATCCTATTTCAAATCTTTCGCATCTTCACCAAATACATCATTACTGAAAGAATGAAATTTTTTCTGAAATTTTCTGTACATCATTACTGAAAGAAGTAAAGAATGTTACGGTTCATCGGAACCCAACGTGGACCTGGAAACCAGACACCGTGGAAGATGGACGTCTTGGACAATGATCATACATTGCTATATATTCTAGATCCCTTATTTCAGCGAAGATTTGCAAGGTTTGGTCGGTCTGTGGAGTCATTAACTGTGGCGCTGGCCCTGTAAAATAATTGTAACGTACGTATATTTTTGGAAATCAATTATAGATCCGATTTATTTACATAGTTCGTTATCAATCACTCCTTGCTACAACCACAATGACCGAACTGGTTTTGTCTTCTCACCCTGATTTGAAAGAACAGTCCACAAAATAGGGGCTCTTGTAAGGATTTTCCGACATCTCATTTATTGCTAACTGCAGACCCGAACGAAGATTCCACCAAATATGTAGGACATATCTTTGCTTACTAATGATTTGCGTAGACCCCGTGCCCTGACTGGCCCTGGCTAGTAACAAATAAAAGTACAAGAGAAAAAGTTAAGGAAGGAAGACGTATCGGAGAGGAGGGTTATACAGGTTTTGTTTCTTTTCTTTCTATGGTTTTCTTGTTCTCTGCTCCATATTGCTGTCCCATATCCGTGGACTTCTGAGGCATCTACTCACCAAATCGTCCATTCATTCTCCAATTGTATGATTGATAACCATTGATACTCTAGAGAACGTGTTTCGGAGTGTCAACCAAGAACCCTTCACCACGTCATTTACTTATCAGAGTTGCTGGTTAGGGCTGTGGATTTGGGTTACTGAATGTGAAGAACATATCTGTTCAACCTGCTTAGTGATATGGCTCAATAGATTCGCTTGAATGAGTTAGAGAACCAAACCTAAAAAGAATATTGCACCGAATTAGCACAAGGCATCAACTTATAAACTTGTATTATACATTTTTGTGTAAGAGAAGAGTTACCTGATACTATCAGTAAAGGAGCGGAGTTCAACAAGTAGGTTGTAGCAATTGCAAACAAAGACTTGTAAGATGAATCTGTGTGAAGATAATTGTTACTTTCTGTAGTGATTACCTTGTTTAGACATCTGTTAGAGTAGAGTGATCTAGGATTGTTACTGACATCTCATTTTGGATTCCATTATATACCTACCATCCGCTCGGTTTTTGTTCTAATTTTGCTCTATTTATGTCCGTGTAGTCATCCACCATTTATCAAGAAAACTATATCTGCCGGACTCCATTGGATTGACCCTTATGTACTGCAGCGAAATAGTAGAACATAGGTAATCAGATCCACTGAACACCTGAGCTAACTATTCGATATGTTTTCGGTGTTCCAGGAATCAGGGCTTAAATCCGTCGATGAGACCTTGAAAATGTTGGACTGCAAGTACGTTTTTTGTTTTTGCCAATGAAGTCAGTTCTTATCTAGTCACTGAAAGATATGCACTTCCTGGGAGCACCCAACCAGCTTTCATTATGATGGCGTTATAATTACTTGACCTCATGCGCAGGGAGATGCAGAAGCACATAGCAGCGTTGGAGATGGAAATCGCTGCAGCTAGAAGTCAAGGATTCATGCTAAAGCGTCCAGCTGTGGACAATACAACTGCCAATGGGGGAAGGCTGCATGCTGTCATCGGAGTATATACCGGTTTTGGAAATCGTCTTCGGAGGGATTCAATCCGCAAAACCTGGATGCCCACAGGTTCGTCAAAGGTCCATGACTTGGGAATTGGCTAGGTTCATCAACATCTCAACATTCTCATCTTTGAAATACAAAATTTTGTCCAGTAACGTTTCCATTCACTATACACGCAGACTTATAACAAATGTTGACGTTTGATCAAGTGTTGCAGGTGAACAATTGAAGAAACTTGAGGTAGAGAAGGGCATTGTTATTCGCTTCGTGGTAGGAAGAAGGTACGTCCCGTCTGAGCTGCATTCTCCTACCCCGACCTTGCTTCTAACTGTCGTAATCTTATAGCTAGATGAGCTCAGCCTGCATGCGATTCTACCTGCTCAATCATCATTCTAATTATTATTGCAGACAGTAGTGAATATTCAGGACCTAACGACGGGAATCTTATGTTGGCATTGGGATTGCTACAGCGCTAACAAAGGGGACAGCTCGGACCGGCTAATTGACGAGGAGAATAACAAGACCAAGGATTTCTTGATTCTGGTAGAAACGTCATTCCGATTGTTTTTCCAGTTTGATCACATGACAGGAACTTTGATTGTTTTACTCGTTAAAACATGATGTACCGTAGGGTCATGAAGCTCATAACATGCAAGATTTTATATTTTTCAGGAGAGTCATGTTGAGGGCGAGAATGAATTGTCACGGAAGACAAAAACCTTTATCAGCACTGCAGTCGAGCTTTGGGATGCTGACTTTTACATGAAAGTTGATGACGATGTTTTCGTCAATGTTGGTAAGCTTTTACCTACAGCTTCGAATTTAGAATTACGATGATCCAATACCTAACCGTCATGACGGGTGGAACTTTGCCTCTTCACTTGTTTCAGCACGATCACTCGGAAAGACTGTACCACAATGTCTGCAGTCAGTGACTAGCTAGCTACGTAGTACGCTTTCGATCTCTTGAACATTGTTTGTACGTAGCTTTTGGAGTCAGTAAACTTTAGACTTCTCCTTCTCGCATGTCGGATTTTATTTTGAGAGACATGCCATATCTCAGAGACGCTCGAAGCAAGCATATGTCTCCTGGGGCTGGTGTTTACTTTCTGCTACTATTCGTGGTCAGCTCAGGTGCATGTTCTATGCTAACCTGCAGAAAAATTGGTGACTCCGTCGTGTTGCTTCATTGAATTGCTTCGAAGAAATCTGACATAACTTTCTTCACTCATGGCAGAAATATTGGGAGCTATGCTCGCCAGTCATTGGGATAAACCCCGTGTTTACGTTGGATGTATGAAGTCTGGAGAAGTGTTCAGTGAACCGTACGTAATGGCATCACCCCAAATCTTACTTGGAGTCCTAATAACGCAGGCTTGATCTGAGTTTTACTGCTTCATATCTATGAGAAAGTCAATGTCTATGATCTTCCTTGAATTGGGTGAGATTAGATTCCTCAAGGAGGGCGTAAATATATGACGTGTGAAGATATATTTGTGGAAGCCCGTTGTCATCTGGTTATGTCATCAACAAGGGAATTGTCATTGTCAATTAATGTGTGTATATGTGCAGAGTTCTGCAGTACGTCGTAATCTTACCTTGTGTGATGTAATTTCCTGTCTGGAACGCAGAAATCAGAGATGGTACGAGCCAGAATGGTGGAAATTTGGGGACGAGAAATCGTAAGTTTAAGTCAGTTTAGTTAAGTCAGTTTAGTACTTTGGATGCATTGCTGGCCATGTACTTACGTAGACCCATAGTATTTATTAGTTGTTTTTTGTATGAAAGACGTCGTCTTAAGTTTCCTGAAACGACTTGAGATTTCTGAGCGTGCCGAGTTTTGGTGAAGGAATGTGAAATGACTGCTATTTTATTTTAGCTACATCAATTACGTTCTGCCTGTCGTAGCCCGAACTATTTTCTTGTCAAAGTTTGGACAATCGGGAATGCTTTCTGCTACTTTGTCGATGAACTGACCATTTTCATTTCAAAGCATGTCCCGGAGGCTTGTCCGATCTAGAGTTTGACATTCCTGCCATGTTGCTGTACATGCAGTTATTTCCGTCATGCCGCAGGTCAAATCTATGGCCTTTCTCGGGCTCTGGCTCAGTATATTGCCATCAACAGGTTCGAGTAACAATATACTCGGAAGCTTCAATTATGCTTCATGTTTATTTGTAGACTTTTCTGGACCATTTTTTAGAGGAGACTCACTATTTTAAGACTGCATGGGGAGAAAATGTTACTTCGATGTTCTTTTTTCAAATTCATATGTCTTTCTCTTTATATACAGACGTACAGTGAAAGTACTTCACGTTGGACTCAATCCATAGATGATTTTGGAGTCCAATAGTTGACGACGATGACAGGGTCCATCAAGGCAATCAACTTGGTGTTAAATTGTTTTCGCAGTGCTATTCTACACGAGTACAGCAACGAGGATGTTACAGTTGGTTCTTGGATGATTGGGCTCGAAGTTGATCATGTTGATGAAAGACGCCTGTGCTGTGCCAGCTCAGTGGATGGTATGTTCCCACACTTCAACCTCATATCAAAGGCCTGATTAGACCTTTGGTAGTGATCGATCCAGTTCAGTACTGAAGTATTGACTGAATGTTGCGTTCTTCATTTGTTGATTTGGTTGGCTGTCGAGATTACATATAGGTCTCGTGTCGTTATGCTATTCATTCATGTATCGTTCTCTGAAGTTTCGTTCCCCTTTCTATGGTTTCTAGGGCACTTCACGATTATAGCTAAATAGTTCTGCTTTTGATTGATTTCGTTGCAATATGTTTCTCGTTGTACGGGAAGGCAGAAGTTGGACTTATTATCAAGCAGCTATGGTGTCATGTGACGCTGAATGATGTTGAAATACAGATTGCCATGGGACTTTATTCTTCTCTAATTAACGCACTCTAATGTTTATGTCACTTGTTTTGAAACAATAGCAGGGGCAATGTGTGCAACCAGACCATGTATGTATACTTTGTCCTCCTCTTCAGTGCCGTGTTCAGTGTGTTTTTCGACGGTTCGTTGAAGCTGGATTAGTCTCATGACAGATATTCGTGTATATGTGGATCGTTTTTATCGTGATCGTTGGCTGCTCACCGGCTATTACAACGTGTACAAGTTTACAACTGCTTCCTTGTGTCTTACAAATAAGGGGCCGCCGATCTTCATCAGCGTCTACTTACTCTTGATTGTGGTCGTTTATACAGGATTGTGTGAAAAGTGGAAATATATTGGAGAAGCATGCATTGCTGTTCTCGACTCGGATTGTGGAGGTCTTTGCGACTCGGCCAACAGAATGAGTGATGTAAAAGCCAAATGTTCTTGAAAATGAGGAAGCTTATTGATGAAGAGCAAATGAATGCAAGGTATAGCAGCACCTGCTTCGAACGTTCACTCAAACTCAGCCTCCATTGTACGAGTAGATTTGCTGACCGACCCTCTTGTCCATCTGGTCCAGTGTGGCACACAGATTTGGAAAGCGCCTGTGACCTTGTTGCATATTAATTTTCAATATGCCGACGTTGAGTTTCGGACGAAGACAAATCACTTCAAAGCATACACAACCCTGGCAATAATCAAAACTCTTTCTCACCTCGAACAGTAGGTCATGGCAAGTTATCTGTTTGGAGGGGTGGAGTTTTTAGAGGATTCATCAAATAGTCCCCCAGGAAGTGGCGCCAATTTATTGAGGTCCAGAAGGTTCATGACGTACGTATCAACTTAGTAGTCACGCTGCTCTCCGAACCCCGTCAAATGTGACGAGTGCTTATGCCCAAGGCGCACGTAATCACTTATTACAGATTCACTTAAAAAGGATTGGGGTCTTCCCATCATTTTTTGTCATCCACTTGGCCCCCGCTTCTCTACTCTACACTTGAATACAAGACCAAGTCTTTTTGTACATGGACAATGACTTTGTGTACCGGATGTCATCTTTTGTTTCCACTCCATTATCTTGTCTACCAGGCAAAATTACTCATGGAAGCAAACCTTAAAAAATAACTGCTGTGGACTCGTCCACCTCTGTACAGCTGTGATGATAGACTGCCACCCGGATGCCAGTTTGTGTACATCGAGTCTGAGATTTGCAGAGCTTTTCAGTAACGAGCTGCAAACTATCCAGGAGTTCTTTCCGTTCGAACGTTCCGTGCTGAAGAGGACAATCTTTTGATGTGGAAGGAGTCCACGAAGTAGGGACCGAAATCGAGGCGAAAAGACGAGCAAAAAGTAGAGATGAGGTCGATGAGGCTAGATCTTCGAGGAGAAGCGAAATAGCCATGCAGAAGGCTCAGGGCCTGTTGAAATGATCTTCAGCTCCACGGTCAGGAACCACACACCTGCCGTTTGGGAGGTTTGCAGAAGGACAGTCCATCTACTGTGCAAAGGCTCGGGGTGGGTTCTGACACTATCAAGAAATTGAAGGCTTTCGTCAAAGGGTGTGGTCAGAACTGACCGCAAGATCGTCCAGATGAGAAGTCCGTTGTCTAGAGCCCAGATGCAGCTGCCTCACTGAGGCAGGAGATTTCTGCATGGTTCACTTGTCGTCTAGCTCTGGCTGCGCATGAGCCATGTTCATCCAATAGACTCATGATCCGACGATTGTGTCTGGAAGCGAAAAGATGGCGGTGGATGCGACAGCTGAAAAGAAGTGCGGAGCGGTTCGCTCAGCAAACGTGTTCGCCCAGTGTCATCAGTCGTAGCACCTGCAAGGTCCCAAGGTGAGGTTGACTTGACGATCTATGATTCACTCGCCTCGGGCGCCTAATTTCCCTGGAAGAGCTCAGGTTTTGTGTAACTGCCGGGAGGGAGACAGTAAAAGTCGTGTCGTGTATTTGTCTTACTGGACCTTTTACACCTCATGTGCAGCCCAGCCCGTCAAGCGATGAACAAAGTTCATGCTTCGCATCGCTAACCAGCCTGCAAAATGGAAACAAATCAATGATTGAGAATCAGAACCCCGGTGGGGTTGGCTACACTTGCTGAGAGGTAGAAAAATAATTGTGTAATGATGAGTAGAATGAGTAAAGCCTTTTCAGATATAGACGAAATTGTGGGCAAGGGCGGCGGCTGCTGCTGTTTGGGGCCGTGGGCTATAGTACTGTGTACGTACAGCGCTCCCTCTGCTGTGCTCTTGTCCACAGGGTGCTCGCACTAAGATATGATGGTTCATAATGCACAGCTGAGCTTGTGACGTGTGTACACCCTCTTCATCAGCAAGGTCCCGGATCCCCTGATTGGAGCAAATCTCTGTTCGTTGTTGACATACAGCATTATAGATCTTACACTTGGCTTTATGTACGAACCACCCAACAGTTTCGTCACGTTTGTCTACATGTCATCAATTACAGTCTTCTGCGGCAAAGCTGCATTCACTCACAGCGTATGTTGAAGCAGATCGACCTGACCTCATTGCTCCTGCATATCTCAAGTTTATCGTCCTGTCCTGAGCCGAGGTAACATATATTTTCTATTCCCGGCTCAAATCTAGAAGCCGGCCCTTGACCTTTTCACGCATCTCTATCCCCCTCGCCCCGCCCCCCGCTGGGTTCGTTGATCTACCTCGCCTCTTGTGTCGTTCACGTTTGCCGGTTTTGTACATGCGTCTCGTCTTTTCTGCTTGCAGCTCGAGCGAGTACCCGTCGTCCAGCCCTGGGCAGGACGGGAAATAGCTCCTACTCATGCTGACCTTGATCCTCATCGCCATGAAGCACTTAGTCCCGATGGAGAGTCAAAGCTTTCGATAAATATCTCGAAGTCGTTCATCTGCTCACTGACTGGTGGATCCAACACAAACCGTGCGTCGAGTGTGTTCCTTGCTTCTTATCAACTCCTAAAAATAAGGTGTGCACTCGCATCAGCGCAAAGCTTCCTGATTGACACCACTGCAAGGAGTCGATAACAGCCCAGCACAGCTTGGAGGTTGTGGGTTAGAGTAGTCCCAAACTAGATGTGCATTGTGCGCCTCAGGAAACCGGATATGGCCTTGGGAGCCCTGACCCCAGAATGGAACGCGAGCTCGCTTTCCATCCTCCTGACATTCAACGGACTCCCACTGACGGTTGAATCCACTGGAGGTGAGGCGACTGGAGAGCGCAGGAGGGTCGTCCAAGTCAAGAGGAGGTAGCCTTGACGGCCACGACGAGACAACAGACGCAGCAGCGAACGTGGAGGTGGCTGAATGACGAAGTCGACCCCTGAATGAGGGCCTTCGGTCACCGCAACCGTAGCTAACGGTCTTTCACGTCTGGAAAAAACAATGGAACGATGATGATGACGATGACGTTGCTGTTGTCGTCGTTGTCGTTTTCGTGAGGGGATGAAGCCCAAAGGCCGAGACCCCAGATCCTGAAGAGCAAAACTAGGGAGGTGTGGAAACAAACTGCATGGAAATCTAGAACAAGTGTGGAGTCATTGGCGAATGCTAGCAATGAAGGAAACCATTCAAGGATGCCTGAATATATTGCTGCATTGCGTTCTAGTAGGTGGACATTGGCCAAGAGTATGTGGCTTCATGTCTCCTCGAAAATCCCATGCAGTCAACAGCACGGAGATCTAAAATATTAAAATGGCAAGAATAATTTCCTTTAGTGAATTCAGGTCTCTAAATTGCGTCAAAGATTTGAGCTGTTTCTAATGTACGACCTGGTGTTTCAAAACACATGAGGAGATTCCAGTGCCTTGCATGATACATTCTGGTGGTCTTTCCAAGATGTTTTAGGGTGCGCTTTTAGACTTAGACCCAGGAAGTGTATACAAAGGCTTTAAATCGAATCTTCAACTAGTGCAGAGAATGGGCAGAGATGAATCGCTTCTTGAGCAAGTGTATCTGCAGACTCAATTCCAATGATGCCATGGTGTCACGCATCCAATTCAAAGACTTCAATCATGTGAAGGAAAAGTATGTAAAGTAGTAAGCATGCTACGAGCTTATTATATAGATCATCGTACAGTTGTTTAACGGGTTGTGTCCATGTTGTTTATTATCTGAAATCATTACCTCATGTTGTACTTGAGTAAGACATATTAACATCTTTGGAAGGACTTGAAGTCTTCTGATGCAAACAACAAGTCATCCGGCCTCGTTGATGAAAAGTCAACTCCGAGAGCCTGAAACTGCATTAGTGTTGAGGTCAAGTAGATTGCTCCTGCTCCTCATGCTCGTTTGTTGTCCCCTCTATTGGACAGGAAGTAAATGTCTTAGCTTCTGGAAAAAGTGCCGAACTAAGAGGTCTATTTTTATCTCGGGTTTTAAAGCTAGCGTACCATTTTGATTTTAATAGGCGGTGTAAAGCATAATGAGACGATTTTTCTCGCTTCATGTTGTCCTCACCGGTGACTTCGTCTATGAATTGCAGAACTAAGCTTTTGTTAGTTCAACCTCTCTAAGATCCAGACTCCGCAGCCAGGTAAATCTGATATCACTCGAATATGGTAAACAATAGTTTCTACTATACCATCATTTCTACGTGAAATGATTAAAATTGTGGCAGTGCATGTAATCATCGCCTTGACGGCCGAATGGATATATGCAAAAGGTTGAATTTGCCAAAGAGGAGAGATTCGGCTCGAAAAGCCAACATAAGCATTGCGTTGTGATGGTTTCAGTCGAGTCCTCTCTGGGTCGTGTACGGGTCAAACAAACCATAAAACTAACGGTACGATTGATGATGTATTGGTGAGCGCCGTGGGGTTCATGTTGGTGTAGTGAAGTCCAACAACCTCTACCCCTGCCTTTATACTCCCCCTCCCCACTCACTCTATTATACGTATACGGTGCTTTCGCTTTAGGAAAAGACGAGCCAAAGTAACGGATGTATGCTCTTGCGCGCTTTGACTGTTTTCTCTCTCTCTCTCTGCATATCTGATGGTGTTGGTTTCCATTGGTTATTGGAAAAGACTGTCGTGTATGATCCTCGAGCATATAGTATTTTCATAATCAAGAGAAAAAATGTGGTCACAACCGCTGCATTTCTTCTGCGACGGTCGAGTTTCAACGTCTTTTATTTCAGTCAGACGTTTTTTTTATTTGTTTTAATTATCATTATTATTTTAAGTGATGGATAGAACTCGATTTCAGATCATTTCGAATTTTCTTTACCTGTCTCACCCGGTTCCATTTTCAAGGGGACGAATATTAATCGTTTCCAAGTTTTGTTTCTGTCACGCAGGAAGCAATTTGGTCCATCGTCATTTCCAAGCTCCTCAGTTCCTTCTTTTGAGAAAAGTTTTGAGGTCACCTTGACGTCCGAAACTGGCCTTTTGGAAATTTATCCTATGCTCTGTACTCCATATTTTCCTTCCTCTCTCTCTCTCTCTCTTTCTCTGGTGGCTTAGACGGCCAAGTGGCCAATGTATATTTCGATAACTCTCTCTCTCTCTCTTTACATCTTGTACCCCTCGAACAGCCCAGCCTTGAGTTCTATCATTGCCAAATTTAACAACAGCCTCGAGGTTTCATGCAATGCAGCAATGCATGGTACCCATGAATCTCGTTAGCTATTATGACTGAAGCGAATAGCTGGAGAATTATGACTCATCCCATCCCTCCCACTCCCACACTACCAGCGTAGGGTTGACTTTCACCAAAACCAGAGAAACTTGATTGGACTGTGTACCCTGCTTTTCTGCACCGAGGGCCCAAATTTGCTCACTTCCAGCCTCAATTTGTCGATTGGCAAATCTGCTGCAAACCACTAGAGTACGTATCCTCGGACTGACTCCTCCCGCCTTTGCATCCATCTTTCTTCCTTCGGGTCGGGCTCTCTCTCATCATTCCCTCCCTCGTCCTGCTGCTTGTGTGAGCTCCTTGGGTTTCATCCATGCACGGCTCGCTTGATTGAGGCGGGTCTGTCTTCCCACCCCTTTTGGCCCAATATCTCTCGGTGCACTTGTGAGTTCTCGGTCCCTCCACAACGTCGTGTATCACATCGGTGCATGGAGGTCAGTCCTAAAGTGCATGAGAGCATCATGAGCGCTTCTCCATGCACGACAATCCCCATGGCTCAACACGGCCTGCCATGAACTCGCACCATGAAAAGCGTCAGCAATCAATCTCACTCGACCAGACGAAGGAGAAGAAGTTGATCCCTGCTTCCCCTTCACCATGAACCTCCGGACCATTTGCATAGCGAGGACTCTCGTTCAGCTTCTCCTCGAAGACCTCTCGTTGTCAAATCGTTCGGGGGTAACAAAGCCACAAGTCTTCCGAACGGGATGCATGATGATCCTGCAAACCGACGTCCCGAAAGATGGCTTCGGCCTATGGTCCCCGGGGGGGTAACCATAGCCCCTCCGCGGCCGTTGGACAGATCCGACCGACGACGCAGTTCTCTCTTCCGGGGGGGTCCACGAATGGGGGGGAGGGGGGCGGGCATAGCGGACGGTGCAAACGGGGTCCTTGGCATTCGGAGTGGAGTGACATTCCTCGGAAAGGAAAAGCTGGCGTCTGAGTGCGATTGTGTGCGCGATCCCTCCGTTTCGGGAGCCCCCTGGGCTCGATCCCGAAAAGCGATTTACCGTTACGGGGCTTTGATGAGGAAGAAACCACCAACCAACACGACGAAGATTTGATGTTCGCGAGGGATGTTCTCCAGGCCGCCCAAGCATTCCCGCTACCCACCACTCCCCAGCCCCAGCCCCAGCCCCTCGCCCGCTTACCCCGAGCCCCAGCCCCAGCCCCACCCCCCGACGGCTTCCCGGCTCGGCAACGGGGGCTGCCCAACGATTTGGCTGCTGAATGGGTGCGCGCGCTTGTGGGGGGTGGGGGTAAGCGGGCATGGATTCGTGGTGCGGAAAGGGGAGGCCGATCTAAACGACAACCACCCACATGAGCCCCCCTTTGACTTGGGGCTCGGCGCCTTCCTCTTTCAACGGCCTCTTGTCATTGCACACGAACAGCATGTCCTTTCACACCCGCCCCTGAACCCCCAGCCCCAACCCCAGCCCCCACGCCCCGCCTTCGAAACAACATCCCGAGCTTTTTCTTTCCCGGCCGAGATCGGATCTCGAGCATGCGTTTGACGATGCCGCTGCCTCCCATTGCCTCTTTCAGTGCCGTGGACCTTTCCGGCGCAATCTCTTCTGACATGAATGGACTCCCCATTCCCCCTCCTCCCCCTCTTCCCACCATGCCACTCTCGTAGACTTCAGCGTCGCATGGAAACATTTTCAGATAAGTTTCATAAAGGTTCCTAATTTTGGAATAATTAAAATTATAAATAAATCTAATTTTCCATAGTCTTAATAATCCCATGAGCTTATTATAAGGGACGTGAATGGAAGAGTATTTCGAGCGTATGTTAAGGTACGCGGGCCGTAGTCCAGCCCCAGGCGGCCGACGGAGAATGTTAATGTCGTCGTCGCAGTCGTCGGGTGCTACCACATCCAGCCGCGTGATGTCGCGTCCGTCGGCGACGGCGTAAGCCCAAGCGCCTCTCGAGGAGGAGAGCGGCCCAGCCAGCGGTCGGTCGCCTGCGCAAGGTCCGCATGCCCGCGACTGCCAGCGGCGGACGACGCGTGTCGGTCGCCGTGCGCGTCGTTCGGGGCTCATAAAGCCGAGACGGCGCTTGTGCGGTCGACATGGACAGCCGAGAGTGAACGAAGCGCGACGCTGCGATTCAATGACTTTTATGAGGGTCCGACGAGAAAATGATATTTGTTTGTGGACGTGTCCTCTGAAATTCCACAGCCATGGCATGGCTTGCATGCCCTCCGCAGGCTCCTCCTCCATCTTTGTCTCTCATCTCTCTCTCTCTCTCTCCCTCTCCCTTCCCCGCCTCTCCCTGTCAGTCAGAGCCTGCCATCTCTTCTTCGGTTGTTGGGTCATCCCTCCCTGCTCTCTCTCTCTCTCTCTCTCTCTCTCTCCTTTCCCGCTGTCACCGTCCTGACTCTGATTCGGCTCTCTCTGACTTCCCCTCGCTCATGCATTTGCGCCAGGACTACCTCCCAACGAGCTCGTCTGCACGGCCGTGCCCTCGTGCCCTCGTTCCCTTCCCTTCCCTTCCCTTCCTCGTAGCGCTTCCATGTGACGACGACATGGACTCGGTGGCTGTCACGATGATCGACGGAGCTCATGGTGGGCAACCGGCTCCTCCTTCGGTCGCTTGAGCTAGAGAGGCAGCTGGATGGATGGATGGATGGATGAGGGGGGCTGCTGCTTCTGCTGCTGGGAGGAGGTCGTCAGAGCGTCGCTGGTCGTTAGCCCCGGGGCTTGCGAGTCGATAATAATACATCGGAGCTTCTCGCGCTGTGTCTGAACGGGTCAGGAATGAGAAGAAGCTGGCGGAGATATGTTGCGCTGTGTGAGTGTGTGGGTGGTGGTGATGATGATGGCAAGTATTCACTCGGGCAATAAAATCTCGAAGAGATCTAACTGTGGGTTTATGCGCATGGAGGGAATAATGAAGGCGGTCCATTGGTGCAAACAGCACCAAATGGAGATGAGAATGCCTGAGAACCTTTTTCTAAATCCAGCTGCTCGGCGAGAGAATGACACTGTCCATGGCTCGGACCACCCCCAAAAAAACTAGAGCGAAAAAAGGACAGCGCACGATAGATTCCGAAGACCACCTTCCATTCTCGACGCGTGAACGGTAAATCTGATCAGCCCACGGGAACCCCAGTTTTAGCACAGGGCTTAGATTCTCCAGAGGCGCAGAAAACATATTTATTTCGACAGTCGAGGGTGCAGAATATGTCACCCGCCTGCACCTTCTCGGAAGCCTCGTCGCTTCTCTCCTTCGCGGGCTTCCGCTCTGCCCCCTCTCATGGAATGATTACTGAGCTCTCGGAGCTTCCTCCGCCATCCCAATCGCCCTCATCTCTCGATTCCTCGAATGCGCTGCCACCTGAACCCTTCGTAGACTTGGGTGCTTCCGGGGCGTGCATCCCCAACCCCCTCTCTCGTCAGCTTGCTGCGGCTCCTTGGCTCCCCGCCGTATCAACGCGGAGCAACGGCTTGACTTGACTTCACTCTGATGCCGTCCTCCCCCGCCCCCGCAGAGGCCCCTCTGATCGCATTATCTCTGAACCGCTTCGTGTAATTTCCCACGGTCGGCATCCTCCCCTCCCTCGTCCGTGTGGGTAAGTAAAGCCGGTGCTCGTCTCACAGAGTCCCCATAACCCCCACGCTTAGCAACGGTATTAGCGAGTAACAGAGCATGGCAGCCGCCTGACAGTCGCTAGTACCCCCGGGGGGTGGGGTGGAACTGGACTGGACTACAAGCCCAAGCCCAAGCTCTCGAGCTCACGGCGTCCGGCGGGTTCCGGCCCTCGGGGCGACCGGGAGCGGAGCCGAGAGAGAAATTCGCGCGCAGGACCGAGCGGAGCGAATGGGTCATAACGAAGTCTCATGATGACGGTTTCTAGCTGTCGGAACGCGTCTTGACCGTCCACCGGGAAAGTTCGGTCGGTTTTAATGGCGGCGCCGGTAAAGACGAAGACGAAGACGCGAGGCGGGGCAAGGAGGGGCTTTGGGGACGGGGGGGCCCACGGGGGAATGCTCGGGGCTAATGAGATCCGAAACTCGTGAGACGAAGCCTCATTAAATGCCAGTTCACACTGCGGCCGGATTATCGAGGCGGTTCAAACTCGTCCTACTGGTCCAGCCCACCAGCCACGTACGGCCGGTTCGGTCACTGTCACTCCCCGTCACCGCTCACTGAACAGGACGCGCAGGGGGGGCCCTTTCGCAAGCGGTGCACGACGAGTGACTGGCTGGCTCCCGTCCCCGACGGATGGAGCCCCGGACGGAGATCTCCGCGGTCGCCTTCCTACTCCTCGGGATTCGGATTCGCCCTCCGTCCGTCAAATCCTTCCAGACGAGTCCTTTTCGGCCGCTGTCACTTCATTTTGTCTAGTAGTGGCCTCTGTCTTCTTCCGGAGGGATAAGCTGACAGCACCACCACCTCCGCAATCTTGTCTTCACTCTGACTGTCCCGCTCGGGCCCTTGTTGACTAGGTACAGTACAGCCCTGCCCTACCCTAACCTAGTCTAACCCAACCCAACCAAACCTAACCCAGCCTAGCCTGCCGCTTACTCATAAGTCATGCCTCTCGTCCAACCAGCCTCGTCGCTGCATGTCTTTACCACTTTGCGCATTTATCCTGTGATCCATGAGCTGGGAAATCTGCTGTCCCTTTTTCCTGTTCCATCTTACCCATCCTATTTCCTTTTAATTTTAATTTTCTTTCCCTTCGAGAGAGCATATTCTTTAGTTCCGGGGTGTTCCTTCCGAGGGAATTGCCTTCTCGAGGGACAACCCTACGAAGAGGATGTGGATGTGGATGGACTGACCCAAAGCGGGGCTCGATCCTTTTGGGAGCTCTCTGCCCATTGCATGTCCGAGAATTAAAAAAATAAATTTGAGCGAGGTTTGGCCTTCTTGAATAAAAATTTATAATTTCGATTTTACGGCTATCGACTTTTGGGTTTCACTGCCGGGGTTGTCCCGGAGGAGATTAAAGGGAGGGTAGGGTTGTGGCTGGCCTCTGGTACTCTGTCATTTATGAATGCGATCTCTTTTTGTTTCGGCTCAGATTAAAGGCCGTGGATTTGGGTCGTTTGGCGGGGGGCTTTGTTTGTGGCTAGAGTTGGGGCTAGACCGCTTTCGGTCCTTATTGGGTCTTTTGGAAAATCCACTTTTGCTCTTTTGAAACGACTGAATAAACAAACTGACAGACGAAGTTGATTGCGTGAGCTCCCTCTACGTCAATCGCTTCACTCTTACATAATTTCTCGC